GGGCTCTGTTCCCTGCTTAAGCCAAGCTCAGGGTGGTTTTTTTCCATAGTTTCCCATGGCAAAATCACAGGCAAGTGGCTGAGACTCCACTGGGATTATAACCCAGATTCCTGGGGTGTGGAGGTGCAGTTATACAGGGTACAGCCCTTGGGGACGGGGGCTCCATCCCAGCCTGCCCAGCCGGGATGCAGGCTGAGGTTTGCAGGAGGTCAGGAGCCTCCTGCGGTGGGATTTACACCCTATGGGATGAGTTGGGTCTCCTGAACCTTCCAAATTCAGAGCTGGCACTTTGGAACCACCACACAGCCCTTGTCACCCTGGCACAGCCTCCCCGTGGTGCCCTCGGTGCCAGGTGCTGCTCAGCTCCATCCGCCCTAAAATTAGTAAATGAGCACTCACATTTTTTTTTTTCCCCAAGGAACTGGCTGTCAAAATAAAAAACATGCAGCTGAGGGTGCCCAGTGCCAGGCTTGTCCTGAGGTGACGTGCTGGGCCCCACGTCTGGAGCTGCAGAGCAGCAGGAGGAGCTGGGCTGGGGCTCCCCACGTCCCCCACGCTGCCTTGGGGGGCACTGCCCGGGTCCTGGTGCACAGCAAAGCTGCTCCCGGGGTTTGGGAACAGCCTGGACATGATGAGCAGGAGGTTTCTTGCCTTGAACAACATGTCCTGCTCTGGGACACCCTCGGTGCTTCCTCCCCCTGCCCCAGCACTGATGACTTTTTCATGCCGGCCGGAAAACGGGTTTGTGCTTGAAAATCCCTTCCCGCTTTGTTTGCTGCCACCACATTGTTCAGCTCCAGACTGATACTATCTCCTCCTGCTTTCCAGCGTGTTTTCTAGGACCCTGGGGTGATGCTCGTGCTGGGTGGGGGGTGCAGTTCTGACCCTCTGCAGGCAGGTTTTGGCAGGGCAGATGTTTTGGCCTCTGCTCCCCGCGGGGCTCCCCTGCCCCCCCAGCACTATCTCACCTCTCAGCCAAGGGACTTGTTTTTTCCAAACAGTTGCAAAACCTGAAGGGCTGGAGCTTCACTTTCCCTTTCCCCAGGGAAAAGCAAACAGCTCGCTGGCCTCCCTGGCTCAAGCCATGATAGAGGCTTGAGAGAGGAGAGGTTGCTGGGTTGCTTGGTGCACACATGAGGTGTATGAGCCCAGTCCCACCAGCCCTGCTTGTCCTGACCAGCTCAAGGAGGGGGGGGTGGTTTCTCTGAGGGTCTTTGCCTCACTTAACCTCTGGCAGGCCCCAAAAGCAGTGAGATGGGGGGCACTGGCAGTGCTGCCATCTGGCTTCACCACCTGCTTCTCTCCCAGTGCTGAGGTAGGTGCCCTGCAGCTCCCAGCACAGTCTTGGAGTTTGCAGTCCTGGGCCAACAACTCTGGGTGACCTCCAGAGATCCCTCCTGCCCTGAGGGTTATTTCTCCCCCCCCTCCCACCGTGATAAGGTGACATCAGTGCTGCCACCCACTTGCTGCCATCCATCCACTTGACCTCCAGCTCAAGTGCTACCTCAGCTGGAGCAAACAATGCATGTGGGGTTTGGGGTTTATTTGCCTGGAACTTCCCCACAGCCTTCCTAGAAGAGCTGCAGCGATGGTGGGAAATGGTGGTTGCTGCAAAAAGAAAGTGTTAGAGAGGGGAATAAAGTGTTTCCTCTGCTGGCAGATAAAGGGGGTGTTCACTGCCCAGCCTTGGAGCCTCCTCCGTGCGTGCGGGTGCCGTGATAGGGATGAGCAGGAAGAGGTGATGGATGTTCCCATCTCAGAGGTGGAGGTTTCTCCACCACCCCCATGGTTTGGGGGGACAGTCCAGCCAGCTTTCCCTGGGAACTCCATTGCCTGGCACGTGTGTCCTTGCTGGATGCCCAAGGCAGCAGGAGCTGCTGGTGCTGGCAGGATCAGGGAGCTCCGTGTGTTCCCACCTGCCCCGTGTCTCGGGTTGGAGGGTGGATGGAGGACATGGGTGCTGCTGGGCTGTGGGCTGGAGGTGTGAGCCTGGGACACTCTCCTCCTCCCCAGCTCTGCCTGCGTGTCCCCGTGACCCCCAAAACTCATTTTAAAACAGGGCAGGAAGCTGAAAGCCCTGCTGGAGCTGCCAGTGCCCTGCGGCCCCAACGTGCTGTCCCCAGCAGGGTGACTCCGAGCTCCCAGGATGGTTTGAGTCCCTCATCCAAGCAAGCAGAGGAAGCCCAGCCCTGGGGTGCTCAGTTTTTGGCAGGGCAGGGGCAGCACAAGCCCGGGATGTTCTGTCTGCATCCCCAGGGGCTGCTGCTGGCCTGGGGGGGGGGTCGCTGGACCCGGGAAGCGCTGCCAAGTGTGCGTGGGAAACACAGGGTCACATCCCAGGGACTTGGGTCTCCTCCTTGGCCAGCTGGGACATGTCACCAGCCCGAGGAGGAGCTGAGGATGTTAACTCTGCTGTGCCGGGGCTCCGGCAGCCCACAGTGAGGCAAAGTTTTTTTGTGCTGGAGCTCAGGGTTCCTCTGCACTGGGCTTGAGCGCCCAGGGGGATTCAGGGATGCCCAGGAGGATGCAGGAGGGGTTTCCCATGCCCAAGAGGATGCAGGGATGCCCAGGAGGATGCAGGAGGGGTTTCCCATGCCCAAGAGGATGCAGGGATGTCCAGGAGGATGCAGTAGCGGTTTCCCACTCCCAGGAGGATGAAGGTTTGCCTAGGGGGCCCTGGGGTGCTCAGTTTTTGGCAGGGCAGGGGCAGCACAAGCCCGGGATGTTCTGTCTGCATCCCCAGGGGCTGCTGCTGGCCTGGGGGGGGCGTCGCTGGACCCGGGAAGCGCTGCCAAGTGTGCGTGGGAAACACAGGGTCACATCCCAGGGACTTGGGTCTCCTCCTTGGCCAGCTGGGACATGTCACCAGCCCGAGGAGGAGCTGAGGATGTTAACTCTGCTGTGCCGGGGCTCCGGCAGCCCACAGTGAGGCAAAGTTTTTTTGTGCTGGAGCTCAGGGTTCCTCTGCACTGGGCTTGAGCGCCCAGGGGGATTCAGGGATGCCCAGGAGGATGCAGGAGGGGTTTCCCATGCCCAAGAGGATGCAGGGATGTCCAGGAGGATGCAGGAGGGGTTTCCCATGCCCAGGAGGATGCAGGGATGCCCAGGAGGATGCAGGAGGGGTTTCCCATGCCCAGGAGGATTCAGGGATGCCCAGGAGGGTGCAGGAGGGGTTTCCCATGCCCAAGAGGATGCAGGGATGCCCAGGAGGATGCAGGAGGGGTTTCCCATGCCCAGGAGGATTCAGGGATGCCTGAGAAGATGCCCAGAAGGACTCAGGGATGCCCAGGAGGGTGCAGGAGGGGTCTCCCATGCCCAGGAGGATTCAGGGATGCCTGAGGGGATGCCCAGGAGGACTCAGGGATACCCAGGAAGGTGTGGAGATGCCCAACAAGATGCAGGAGGGGTCTCCTATGCCCAGGAGGATTCAGGTATCCCTGAAGAGGTGCAGGAGGGGTCTCCCATGCCCAGGAGGATTCAGGGATGCCCAGGAAGGTGTGGAGATGCCCAACAAGATGCAGGAGGGGTCTCCTATTCCTCAGAGGATTTGGGAATGCCTGAGGGGATGCCCAGGAGGATACAGGGATACCCAGGAGAGCCCTTTCCCTGGGCAGGAATTAAAGCTTTCCCCAACAAGCAACCCCTGCCTGGGCTCAGGGCTAGTGATACCCTGAGCTGGTGGCCAGGAGCACTTGCCTGGAGCCAGCAGCCCATGTTTGGTGCCTGTTGCCATGGCTGGCGTGGCCAGCAGCCAGGGGAGGTGGAGCAGGACACTAATAACACAACAACTGTGTCCAACCCAAGGGCTCTGCCCTGCCAGGTTGCCCTTTGTGGCCAAGCTTAGTCAGAGCTGTTCATTATTTTGATGCAGGTGGCATTTTATTCTTTGCCCTCTGGTTGTCATGTCACTGGCAGTGATGTCAGATGTGTGAGCTGAGGTGTCACCCAAAGAGGTGGGGGCTTCTCTGGGAAAGGTGCACCTGGAGGTGCAGGAGCCATGCCTGGCATTGCTGTCTGTCACCAGGGCCACCAGAGGGACACAGGCAGCAGTGCTGAAGCCAGAGGAGCTGTCACTGTCCCCATCTCAGCTACTCAGCCACTGGGCTGAGGGTTTTGCACTTTAGGGCTGAAATTTGGGGGTGTTTTTAGCTGGCTGAGGAGTCCCACTTGTCTCCCCTTTTTTTCTTTTCATTAAAAATGGGGTTTTATCCCCCTCCTCAGCTCCTCCAGTGGTGACACAGCCCTGCTAAGAAGGAGCATCAGCTCCTGGGAGGTGGGAAGAGCTGGAAAGGGGGCTGCAGATCCCTTGGGAACAGGACCTGATGCTCTAGGGTGGCAGGAGCCAGGCAGGCTCTGTCTTGGCTCCCACCTGGAGGGCACTGTCCCTGGAGCCCTGCCTGGGTGCTGCTGGGTGCCCAGGGTGGCTCAGGGCTTTTGTGGGTGCTGTGTCTGGGGCACCTGTGGGTGCTGTGCCTGCTGCCTGGGGTGCACCACGAGTGCTGGTCCCTTTCAGGTGAGATGTCCTGGAAGGTGTCAGGAGGCTGAGCCAGGGGCTGGCTCACCCAGGGGACATCCCTGTGGGATCTGCCATGGCTCGGGGTGTCCCTGGCCAGGCTGGGTGCTGTGCCAGTCCCCACAGAGCCCTTCCCCACAGGGTGGAGGAGACTCATCCCTGGGAGGAGACGGATTCTGCCCCGGTCACACCCCGGCTGCCCAGGGGCAGCCCCAGGGTGTGGATCAGCCTCTTGCCATGGCTCCAATCCAAAGGGGTTGCCAAGGAGCCCGGTGGCAGGTGCCCTTTTCCCAGCCTGGGGCCCCATCTTTCACCCCAGTCTGCCAGCAGGTTGGGGCAGCAGGTGCCAGGGCATCTCCCAGCAGGGACAAGCTGGGACCTGCCACCCCAGGCTGCCTGGTGGGCTTGGGAGGGTGGCCTGGGGGGTGTTGCAGGGGGGGCTGTGGTGGGCAGGGGGGGTGCTCATCCAGGCTGTCTGCACCCCCAGCTGGAGGACTGCACGCTGCAGGTGTCACCCTCAGGGCACTACCTGGACCTCGACTTGTCTCTGCTGGAGCAGAAGGATGAGCTGGAGGGTTTCTACGAGGAGGTCAGGTGAGACACGTGGGGGACAGGACACTGTGTGTGTGTGTGTGTGTGTGAGCAGCACGGGCTAAAGGGGGCTGTGGGCCTGGGGTGTGCCTCTGTGGGGGCCTCACACATCCTTTTTTCCCCCCCCCCACC